TTACTCTTGTCTTCAGGGAGACCAAGTCTGTTTTACAAGTGACAAGTTCTGCAGGTGACAAGTTTTGGACCAGCAATGGGGTGTTCCAACTGCACTGCAGGCTCAAAGGCCATGAGGTTTGAAAAGGGCTGTTGTGTTGGCCATGGACAGCAAGCCCTTGGCTTCAGGTAGGGCTCCAGGCAAGGGTGCAATACAGGGAAAAGCAGGCTGAAAACATAAAGCAAAGAGAATTCCCTTGCACCACGGTGAGAACTGTTTTCAGTGGCTAAGCTGAGAAATTATTAGCAATAACCAGCATTGAGTTGTGGCACTCTATTTACTCTCATTACTGAAATGTGTGTGAGGTGCAAGTATCATTCTCAAAAGGAGCTGCACCTCCATAGGAAGCATTAATTTATATTAAAAAAATATAATTGTAAACACAGATGTTCAATCACAAATAATTATATTTCCAGAAAGCCAGCATATTTATTACCTGTCAGTTACTTGGTGGAAAATTATGATGCTTGCTTTGTCTCTTTAAATCCGTTAAAAAGTCTCTTTTCCATCCAGTTTCTCAGGTTGTTGCACACAATAGTTGAAAGGCCATGACCCAGAAAAGTCAAAGGTTAATCTGATTTTCAGATCCATCAGCTGGAGCAAGCAGAAGCTCGTGCAGATTGCCTATTGTTGTGGCAATTTCCCGCAGCTGCCTCTGCCACGGAAGCAGAGATGTTCAGGCAGTCCTGATTGCACTTTTCCCCACCAGCCTGCTCCAGAGCTGAACCAACTGCTCCCTGGTGCACCCTGCTCAGGCTCATTTCGGGGCTCCAGCTTATTCTTTTTTAGGACTTCTGAAGAATCCACAGTTTCTGCTATCTCAGAAGACCTTTACATCAGCCCAATGGGTGTGCTGCAACACAACTGAAACAGGCTCCATCCCCAACCACTGAAGCTCCCCAGTGTCACCATACATAGGATAGCTGTAACTAGCATAATGCTAAAGCTCTCTTATGTGTCTGCCCCTTGGCTGGCAGCACTGTAGTACTGAATGAAGTCCTGGATTTAAGTGCTAATTCAGTACAAATTGGGAGAAATGAAGCAGATGTAACTGTCACATTTCTGTGCTTTGGACTATCTATTTTAGAAAGAAGCATGAAAAAAATCATTTTAGTACATTAGTAGTAGTAGTAGTAATGATAGTATCATTATTATCATTATAAGGAAGAAGTTCTTTCCTGTTAGGGTGGTGAGGCACTGGAATGGGTTGCCCAGGGAAGTTGTGAATGCTCCATCCCTGGCAGTGTTCAAGACCAGGTTGGACAGAGCCTTGGGTGAGATGGTTTAGTGTGAGGTGTCCCTGCCCATGGTAGGGGGGTTGGAACTGGATGATCTTAAGGTCCTTTCCAGCCCTAACTATTCTATGATTCTAAGGTTATCATTGTTATCATCATTATTATTCTTACATTCAGCCTGAAGAAGACTGTTAAGAGCTACAGCTACTAGTCCATAAAATAGAAACTAAAAACCAAAGACAAATCAAGCCAAAACCCCTTCATTAACTAAAGGTGAGGAAGAATCCATTTAAATAAAGCTGTCATGAGCATTTATAAAAGAGAAAGATCAAGTTATAAAACAAGTGGCTGGGGGGGTGAACTATGTGCTTATCTAAGCCAAAAATTGTTTAGGTCCCACAATCCTGACAGGTCTTTGCAGAAAATGCAGCAGAACTGTAACAAGAGACCTTTGAAGGGTTCTGTAGAAGAAAGGACAAAAATCACAGGATCTTATTACACAACTAAACCAGGGGATCTCTTTCTTTGACTCTAACACGACTTAGCAAATATTTACATACACACTTTTACCTCTTCTGAAGACTTTTGGAAGTGCCAACAAATTCTAAATACTTGCTTTTGTCTTACTTGTTTTTCTTTCTTTGGCTATTGACAAGAGTCTGCCTACTAGTTGTAGCAATCTGAATGACAGCATATTAATACCAGAATGTCATGTGTTTGGGAAAGCAAACAGCCAGGCTAACTACGAAGGGCGCAGGCACCACATGAGCAATGATGAAAAGAAAAAGAATGAAGGGGGAAACAGTTTTCCTGCTTACAGAAGATGCTGGGATTATGATTTCTGAGAGTATAAATATATACTATATATAATATATATACTATAATATATGGTATTATATATATATATTTTTATATATATATATATATATGATTTCTGAGGTAAACTCAGCCTGAACTCTAGGAGTGCTGGTGTTTTGACAACTTGCTCAAAAACCCCACTTCCTTCCTCAGAACGGCTGACTGAGAACGAGTGCTATGTAGGATGGCTGGGATTTTGTACGCACATTCTAAACTTGAAGTTCTGCCAGAACTGCTCATTTAATTAATAGTTAAATAAGTAAATAAATAAACAAAGCATTAAAAATAAATGAAAAAATCAGAATAAAGGCAGCACTGCCTCAGTTTGAGCAGGTTTGATGGTTCAGGCTCACCCGTGATGCAGGAAAGACCCTGGCCAATACACAGCTGAAAGCCAGTTCCTGGCTCGCCTGAGCTGCAGGACAGCTTGTGCAGCAGAAGCCACAGCCCAGATGTAGGGGAAGGATCCTCCTTCATGTCTGCCATGTGCTCCTGAGCTGCTGTCAGCAGATGAAGCCCTTTGCCCACCCATCCTGCTTACCCTTGAAACAGCCCCATTTAAGGAGTGCCTGCAGAGAAAGCAGCTAGCAGGTTACTCAGACATTCCCCACTGCTTGGCGTATACAAATCACTTCCCTGCGTGTTTAACCCATGCTTAACTCAGGCACAAGACAAGCCCATCTTACATTCTGAAATATGAATTCCAAAATGCTGAGGCAGTTAAAACATATGTGCCTGTGCTCAGTGAAGCTGTTATTGCTGTCCCATAACTCCAAGCACCTACAAATACCCACACATCCTTTTACCTGCTCATTTTCCCAAGGTCTCTGCATTGCAACCTATTTGATTACTTTCAGGGGGTTTTGCTGAGACTGCCAGAAAAACTGTCGCCATCACTGAGGTTTTGAAGCATCTCACATTGTCATCAGGGCAAGATGTTCTTTCACAGGAGCCAGGGCAAAGGAACCCCAGAGAGGATATAATCATTCTGCTCCACCTCCCCTATGAAAAGCTGCCAATGGGAGCACATAAACAAGCTAATCCCTATTCCATCCCATTATTAGCAGATTTAGCTACAGGCATTAAAAAGGAACAGATAACAGAAAGTAAGTAGAGGCTGCAGAAGCAGAATTGTGATGATGATGATGATGATGCTTATAGTGAAATTAGAAGTTTATTTTCAGGGTACTTTCAGATAGGTTCTTGTAGAGAAAGTAATTCTGTATATTTTATCAAGCATGAAATTCCTACAGGCTTATGGGCATCTTATATTCAAGTATCTATTTATTTGTATTTATATAGATTGCAAGCAGTTACAAGATTATGTGACATCTTTTATTGTGATTGCCAGTCAATTAAGATCCCTCCTTAGGGCCTTTCTCCTGCCTAGGTACCTAATTCAAGGCTGCTGTCACGCAGCTCAGGATGTTGCAGTTACTAGTCCTCCACTGTGAGCAGGAATATGAACCCACTTTTCTGCCATGAATGCTTTCCCCACTCAGCTATGCAGCATGTTTTTGAGTAAGGACAGGGCTGTGGCAGTGCTCCATTTTGTGTTGCCTCCTAAGTAGTTACGGGAAAGGGCAGAAAGGGTGAGTCTGCACAAGCAGGAGGAAGAGACTCTGCTGGAGAATGGGACACCTGGGTTCCAGCCCCTGCTTTGTTAAAGCCCATCCTGCTTCAGTACAATAGTTGTGTATTAAAATACCTTCCAAATTAAGTCCTGCTGGTGAGAGGAATCTGTAGCTTTCAGATCCATAAAAGCATAGGGTTTTAGCCACTCAGCATGACCAAGAACGAAGGTAGTTTTGAATGTGCACTGAATTTGGGAGAGGTAGACAACTTCTGGCTGCAATTCCTACCTGCCACCCCAGACCCATGTCCATGTGTCGTATCAGCATGAAACCCATGCATGCAACAGTTTTATCCCTAGTTTCACCATAGTCTAAAAGAAACCTTGGATGTCTGCTTGCTCCTCCCATGCCCTCAGCCCCACAGGTCTCTGACATAGGCAATGCTCAGAGGAGGCCCTGCAGATGAAAGGCACTGTGCCAGGAAAGGTGAATCCAGCTGTAAGCCCCTACAGCCTGTCAAAGCAAAAATACTTTCAGGTTTTTGTCACCTTGTGGTTAGGACAGCAACAGAAAAAGAACAATTTGCCCTAAATTTTGTCCTTGATAATGAAATATATGGAAATTTGTCACTGATACCATTTTGTGGATTTGGCTTTTGGGGCCTGCAGCCTTCAGTGAAACTACCTGGCTCCACGGGGGACTGGATTGGACCATCACACTAACCATGTCCTACTGGAGATACTCTCTCTGACCTTCAGTCCCAGAAATGTCCCAAAAGGAAATCCATGTGTGAAATTAACATTGACTAGAGGATGGGGCAGTAGAAATCAGGTACAGTAGAAACAAATCCCTCCAAGTATTGCTGGTATTTATTTATTTTTAAATGTACTTGGTGCTCCTGCTTGCAAACTGGTGCAAAGAGCACCCATGGCTCTGCTTTTGTCAGCTCTGATAAGCCTAGAAATGCTGGGGGCTGCTGCAGGAGCAGATGGGAGATGCAGGAAGTAGGCTTGATGTTTTCATAAGTGGCATTTTGTCCTCCACATCACTATGATGCCTTAGGCACTGTGCTTCTGAAGGGCCTTCCTCCAGAGATAAAGAGCTTCTTCATGCTTATTAAACATTGCACAGTACTTCTGAAAAGATAAGACTATCTCCATTGATCACCACATGACACAGTGATCTTCCTAAGCAGAATCATGTGAAAAAAGTAAGACTCCAACTGGTTTTTGTTTGGGGGATTACCAAGGAAAATCAACCAATTCTTCCTTCAAAACCGTTCTTTCCCCTGCAGACACAGCCTCATCCCCATAATGTCAGACACCTATTCCGACACGCTTCCCAAACTCATTTGGTAGCTGAATTCACACCTGTGGATATTCAGCACATCTGCGATAATACAACAGAGAAGTTCAGGCCTGCAGAAATAGTGCATTCATCTCACATTAGACCTACTTCTTCTCTCACAAAAGTTTTTTGGGAATTCTCCCATTGCTTTTATTTAGAGCATGGGAAGAACAGGAAACAAACCTTCAAGCAAGCAAGCAAGGTAAGGTATATACAAGCTACAAGCAAGTAAGAGTCCTGCTGTAGAAATAAATTCCATATCCCTATGAGGCAGAGCTCCAAGTATTTCCATGTTCTGCAAAAGAAGCAAAAAAAAGGGCATGCAACAGAAATAATTTTTATGGTCAGAAAATGTGTACACATATTGAGCAATGTACTCTCACAGGATACGGTTCCAGCTGCTCTGTACAATATCCTTCTGCTCAAGTACTCCAGAGCCAGAACCAGTCTTCACAGCAGACTTTTTCTTTATTTCAAAGGGAATTTTGTTACAGTTCTGTAAAAAGTGGCTATAAAGGCAAAAACAGGACACGAGGAAGTGGAACGAATCTGCATCAGGGAAAGTTCAGGTTGGACATTAGGGAAAGTTCTTCACAGAGAGGATGGTCAGTCACTGAAGAGGATCCCCATGGAAGTGGTCATGACACCAAGCCTGTCAAAGTTCAAGGATCATCTGGACAATGTTCTTAGTCATATGTTTTAGCTTTAGGTACTCCTGCCAGGAGCAGAGAGTTGGACTTCCTGGTCTTTATGGGTCCCTTCCAACTTCAGATATTATATAATTACATATATATACAGAACCTACAGAGAGGTTATGATAGGCATAAGCTTTTGGTGACTTTAAAGATTTGTTTCTTTTTGCCCAGGTTGTTGGGTGTAAGTTGACGGCTGGATGGCAGGGCTGCCACTTGGGGGGATCTCAGCAAGCTGGAGAAATGGGCTTACAGGAACCTCCTGATGTTCGCCAAGAACATATACTGAGTCCTGCAATTGGAATGGAGTAAACCCACACTGAAGGCTTGCCAGTGAGACAGAGACTTTGCAGGAAAGGGCCTGAGGGTCCTGAGAGACAACAAAGTGAATATGCACCACCACTGTGCCTCTGCAGCAATGAAGGGTAACTACATATCAGGATGTATTAGCAATAGTCAAGGAAGGTGACCATACCTCTCTAAATGGCACTTGTGATTGATAGTACTGTGTTCAGTCTGGGGCTTCCCAGCTAACCTACTGGAGTGAGTCCGGCACTAGGCCACAGGGTTGTCATAGAATCATAGAATGGTTAGGGTTGGAAAGGACCTTAAGATCATCAAGTTCCAATCCCCCTGCCATGGGCAGGGACACCTCACTCTAAACCATGTCACAAGAACATTCTAAAAGAAATGAATTTGTTCAGCTCTTAGAACGCAAGGTAAAGGGGGAGAAACTCTATTGCTGCTTTCAGCTACCTATGAAGAGGGTATAGAGAGGAAAGAGTAATTCTTCTTGGAGGTAAATGGTGATGAGAGGCAACAGACACAAACTGCAACAACAGAAATCCCAAATAGATAACCATGAAAAAACCCACAACTCACGGGTGGGTGTTTGAAGACTGGAATTGGTGCTCAGGGAGGCTGCAGTATCTTCATCCTTGGAAATATTGAAAACTTGACTGAACAAGATTCAATGCAATATAACTTCAGTTTGCCCCTGCTTTGACAAAGAAGATGGAGCATATGCTTCAGAAGTCATCTCCAATCAGAATTATTTTATCATTGTATAAAAGTTTAGAGTATTCTCCATGTAAATCTGTTTTAAACGTGAATAAAATGCTCTTGAATTTACTGAATGCTCAATATGATGCATAGCAAGGTGGCATAACATAATTCAGATGCTTCCAAGAGCTCATGTGAATGTGTTTCAGGCCCACACACAGCTTCCTTAGCTCCACAGCATGGTTAGCAATTCAGAGAGGAAAGTATATTTATCTCATATAAGTTTACATTTTACAGAAATCCAACCTGTCATCTTTCCTTTGCGTTAGTCATGAGGTTGCAGAAGTCAACAGAGACAATTTTCAAACACGCACGGAGAATTCAGCCTCAACATTTTATTTGAAGGCAACATCTAAACATTCAGAGGTCTGCCCTCCACTGAGGAAAAGTCTGGCCTAGACCAGATGGATTGCAGGCTAGGAGATATGAGGAACTTGCCTGACCGTTACTTCCTTTGGGAAGTGAGTCTTCACCTTTGACTCAAAAGTGAATAACACGATCCTCTTTCCCAGAGAGAACTGAAATCAAAGCATATATACTATTCACAGAACCCCAGAATGGTGTGAACTGGAAGGGACTTTACAGATCATTTCATTCCAAACCCCCTGCCATAGGCAGGGACACCTTCCACTAGACCAGGTTGCTCCAAGCTCCATCCAGCCTGGACTTGAACACTGCCAGAGATGGGGCAGCCACAGCTTCTCTGGGCAACTTGTGCCAGGGCCTCACCACACTCACAGTAAAGAATTGCTTCCTCATACCTAATCTAAGAATAACCTATCCTCTGTCAGTTTAAAGCCACTACCCCTTGTCCTGTCACTACATGGTCCTCTCCAGATTTCTTCTAGACCCCCTTCAGGCACTGAAAGGCTGCTATAAGGTCTCCCCAGCCTTCTCCAGGCTGAACAAGCCCAACTCTCTCAGCCTGTCTGCATAGGAGAGGTGCTCCAGCCCCCTGATCATCTTTGTGGCCCTTATCTGGACCTACTCAAGCAGATCCATGTCTCTCTTGAACACACAACTGCAGGTGGGCTCTCAGGAGAGCAGAATAGAGGGGCAGGATCACCTCCTTCGACCTGCTGGTCATGCTCCTTTTGATGCAGCCCAGGATATGGTTGGCTTTCTGGGCTGCGAGTGGACACTGCTGGCTCATGTTGAACTTCTCGTTAACCAGCACCCCCAAGTCCTTCTCCTTAGGGCTGCTCTCAACCAGTTCTCTGCCCAACCTGTAGCTGTGTCTGGGATTGCCCCGAGCCAGGTGTAGGACCTTACACTTGGCCTTGTTGAACTTCATTAGGTATGCAAGGGCCCACCTCTCAAGCCTGTCAAGGTCCCTCTGGGTGGCATCCCTTTCCTGCTGTGTGTCAACTGCACCACACAGCTTGGTGTCATCGGCAAACTCAGTCCTGCTGTCCATGTCACTGACAAAGATATTACACAGCACTGGTCCCAACAGTGACCCCTGAGAAACACCACTTGTCACCGGTCTACACTTTGGACATCAACCCATTGACCTCAACTCTTTGAGTGTGACCATCCAGCCAATTCTTTACCCAATGAGTGGTCCATACATCAAATTCAAGTCTCTCCAGTTTAGAGACTAGGATGTTGTGTGATGCTGCCAAATGCCTTGCACAAGTCCATGTAGATGATCTCAGTCGCTCTTCTTTTATCCACCAATGCTGTAACCCTGTCACAGAAGGCCTCCAAGTCTGCCAGGCATGATCTGCCCTTAGTGATGCCATGCTGGCTGTCACCAATCACTTCCTCATTTTCTAAGAGCATATGCTAAGGCATAGTTTCCAGGAGGATCTGCTCCACGATATTGCCAGGCACAGTGGTGAAATCGACTGGCACCTACTTCTCTGGGTCTTCCCTTTTTCCAGTAGGTGGGAACATCACAGTCTGCCATGACTTGTGAAATATGATATATAATGGCTTGGTAACTTCATCCACCTCAGGACCCGCAGATGCATCTCATCAGGTCCCATGGACTTGTGCAACATCAGGCTCCTTAATATGGTTTTGAAGCTGATCTTCTCCTACAGTGGGCAGTTCTTTATTCTCCCAGTCCCTGCCTTTGCCTTCTGAAACTCCGGCAATGTGGCTGGAGCTCTTGCTGGTGACAGCCAGGGCAAAAAAGTCATTGAGTACCTCAGCTTTCTCCATATCACAGGTAATCAGGACTCCAGTTTCCTTCCAGAGAAGGACTACATTTTCCCTAGTCTTCCTTTTACCATAAGCATAACTATAGAAGCTTTTCTTGTTGTCCTTGATGTCACTGGCCAGGTTTAATTCTATTAGGGCTTTAGCTTTCCTAACCTTATCCCTGGCTGCTTGGACAATTCCTCTCTGTTCTTCTCAGGCTACCTTGTCCTTGTTTCCACCCTCTGCAGCCTTCCTTTTTGTGTTGGAGTTTGTCCAAGAGCTCCTTGTTCATCCATGCAGGCCTCCTGGTGTTTTTGTCTGACTTCCTCTTTGTCAGGAAGCATCACTCCTGAGCTTAGAGGAGGTGATCCTTGAATAATATCCAGCTTTCTCGGACCCCTCTTCCTGACAGGGCTTTATCCCCTACAAAGCAGATCCCTGAAGATGCCAAAGTCTGCTCCTCTGAAGCCCAGGGCAGTGTGCCTGCTGTGCACTCTCCCCACTGCCCTGATGATCTTGAATGCCATCATTTCATTGTCACTGCAGCCAAGGACGCTCTTGAGTTTTGCATTTTCCACCAGCCCCTCTCTGTTGGTGAGAACAAGGTCCAGGATAGCACCTATCCTCAGCTAATCTATCACTTGGAGAAGGAAGTCATCATCAACACATTCCAGGAAACTTCTGGATTGCTTATGCCCTGCTGTGCTGTTCCTCCAACAGACACTGGAATGGCCGAAGTCCTGTATGAGGACCAGGGCTTGTGAACATGAGACTGCTCCTATCCATCTATAGAGGGCCTCATCTGCATGGTCTTCCTGGTCAGGTGGCCTGTAGCAGACCCCTATTATAAGATCCCCTGTCCCTGCCCTCCCTTTAATCCTGTATGAGTGGTGCCCACATGCAACAACAGCAGTGGATAATAGCCAGTGGACTGTTTGAAGCTTGGTAGTTTCTGGGTGATATCCCTGACAAAACTCTCCAGAGAAGGTGTCAGGTTGGCAAGTGGGTACCTCTGTGCCTCTCAGAAGAGTTGCCTACTAAGAAAGACACTTTTCCTTGTGAAGAGGCCGCATCATACCTGTTGTATTCTTACTGCATCCTTGTACCAGAGGCAGC